AAGCAAGGCCCACTTCGCCCCAAGCCTGAAGGCGGAGATCCCCGATCTCCCCCCGTGCAAGGGGACCCGAGCTCTCCCTTCCTAAGAAGGGAGCACCCCAGCTTTTGGCTAAGTGTCCCAAGGGAGAAACACCTCGGGGCAGCACCGTCGAAACTCCTGTTCGTACTCGCTTAAGGCTCACCTCCAGTATGAGCACCTCGGCATACCTCGGTACCTCGGTGCAGGGCTAACCTACCCCAGGTGGTCCGGTGTACAGCAGCTCAACAGACTACAGGGGAGATCCACCTGACAACCGTACCTACCTGACATCCGTACCTACTGGATCCAGTGGCAGTGCCCACATCCCTTGCCAGGCGGTGTTCTGCCTGTCGTCTCTGAAAAGCATGGCACGCCTGACGAGTCCGTACCCTACTGTAGCTACCTGCAGCAGCAGCCTGCACCTGCCACCCCAGCCCTGGCAGTAACGGCTAGGGCAGTGGCGGTTGTGCCTGATGTGACCGAGCTCCGATATAAGAAGACTCCAACCCTCACGAAACAAAGGTATTGAAGCTAGCACTTTCAGGACTCTTAACTCTCTATGTCTTCTTTGAGTTTTCTCAGAGTTCTAACTTAGCCATCGGAGTGTTCCCGCCAGGAGAGCTCCCCGGGAACCCTTCACCTTCCTCTTCCTCTCAGGTGTCGTCCGTCACAACTAGGAACCAAGTCTCAGCCAGCTAGGAGTGCCTAGATTGTGCTGCATCATTTGACGTCGTCTGTGGGATGCGCTTCAAAAGCCCTTCCTTTAACTTTTGTGCAACTCTCTTCGAAGAACTCATTAGTACTACCAACACCTATGGCTTCCTCCAGCAACGTCGGATGCCGGAACACCTCTGAGGATCAACCCCAGCTACCCACCATCTGCATCGGGCAGTTCATCGTTCCCCTCTCTGTGGACGGGGTTCCAAGTCTGAGTGAGCCTCAGACGGTAGCACCCGTGACTGTTCTACTACCTTCTATAGTCGGAACAACCTTCGCTAAACCCACCATCCTCCCTCCGGTGGCCAGCCAAGGTTAGCTTGAGGATCTGATGCAGTGCATGCGAGCCATGCAGGCTCAGATGCAATAGTTCCAGCAACTCCAGTTCCACCAGCAGCAAGTGTTGCACCAAATTTTCCAGTTTCAGTATCAGCAACAGTTTCCTTCACTTCCTCCTCGGCATCCAGCTGCGCAGCCAACCAAGCCTCACCGCCGAACTGAACTTCCTTCCCACCGAGGAGAGACCTCGATATCATCCCATGGAAGGAACCCCTGCCTCGCGGCCTGCAATTAGGTCGGGGGCCTCCCAGCCGGTTAGGCCGGTATCACCTCAGCGCTCGCAGTTTCCTTCACTCCCTCCACGGCATCCAGCTGCGCAGCCAACCAAGCATCACCGCCAAAGTGAACTTCCTTCCCGCCGAGAAGAGACCTCGGTATCATCCCATGGAAGGAAGGAAAGACCCCCTACCCCCGCCTCACGGCTTGTAGTTAGGTCAGGGGCCTCCCAGCCGGTTAGGCCGGTATCACCTCAGCACTCAAAGTTCGAACCTCCGCTTGCCGAAAACCGGTTTGAAGTGTTGGCCGATGACCTGGAACAAGGTCCCTCTGTTCGCAGCTACCGACAGTCGTCCAAGCATTTCCCTGGGCTCATCAAGCTCAGTAATACCGAGGCCAGCAGCACCAACGCCGAGTCGGCTAAGAAGCAGCGAAGGCATCGCCGAGCTGTCACTCGCGACCTGCCCGAGCTCAGAGGCAAGGTAGAGGTCGGCACGGGGAGCAGAGTAAAGAGGCTCCCGATTCCAGCAGACAAGCAGAACAGCCGCAGAGGCAACCTCCCGATGAGAGACTAGTCCGGGGGACCATCCATGTAATTGTCGGAAGATCAGTTGTTGCGGGCTGCACTTCGGCAGTAGCTCGGTCATCAGCTCGCGAGGCCGCC